GTTTTTTAATATTCTCTATTTGATTGATCCACACTAGCTATACAAAATGGTTTTGAAAGTCGTATCTAGTTAAAATTATTATTATTTTAAAGGGAATGTGACTTAAAAATTAAAGAAAATTAGTGATCATATAAACATTACAATGCATGTATTGGACACACGATTACTACATATAATCATTAGCAAACATAAATTTTAGGTATGTAATCATTCACAAATCACATAAGTTGAGAAAGTCTAAGTTGTGGAATGAATATTCACTTTCTTATCGAGTGTAGTATAAATTTTGAATACGTATAATCACACAAAAACTATATAAGTTAGAAAAATATAAACTGTGAGTTGGAAGAGTTGGACGATGTCTTAAAAGTTTGAATCTCCCTCCCATATAATAAAAAATAAATTAAACAATGAAAAGAAAAAGTTGATTTCGTTTTTTCCCAATCCCAAACTTCCTATAACATATGTAATTAGCAAAAAGAATTAGGTGAATTCTAAAATAGCGCGAAGTACAAGCACCTAATTGGAAATTTCCCATGAAAAAGTATAAATGTCAATCTTGATTTTTCGTATTGCAGAGTGCAGAGTGAAGAAGGAAAACAGAAAAATGGGCAACTCTCAGTCACCTTCATCTCACAAAGATCCTCGCTTTGCTTCCTCCTCCAGGTTTCTCTCTCTGTAATTGTATACACACACTTTGGCAAACAAAGACAGGGAATTGATTGATTTTGAAATGATTGCAGAGCTTTTTCTCATACGGAACTCGAAGTTCTCAAGTCCCTGCACGCGTCCCTGGCTGCTCAATCTCAGAGCAACGGTCCACACGTCTCTCCCTCAGTTTTTAAGGTCATTTTGCTTCACTGCTGCTCTCTCAATTTCCGTGAATTTCAATTATTATGTTGTGAAATTATATTTCCTCTCTAATTAGACGTAGCTTTATGCCTTCACAGAATTATTTTGGACTTCATGGTCCTCTTGGAGATAGAATGTTCGACTTAGTTACCCAGCAACGCAAAGACCAAAAACTCACCTTCGAAGACCTCGTTATTGCCAAAGTAATTTACTTGAAAGTAAAAACTTGTGAATTTGCTGTATTTATCTGGTATTGTTTAGTTTGTTCATCTGCCCACTTGCTCTTTTGCTTCCTTGTGTGTGTTGCAGGGGATTTATGAGAAGGGAACAAAAGATGAGATTGAAGAATTCATATATCAGTTATTAGACGTATCCGGGAATGGCATTGTGGGAAGGTAGAATTCGACCTTTTACTTACGATAGCGTAGCGAGAATGATAGGATATAGTTTTATACTCTAAGGCAGTTGGTTTTATGTTTTGATTGCAATTTTTAGAAGTATATCCTGTCTTATTTTACATAATCAGTTGTTGCATGTCAAGTAGTTTAGTTGATGTTGTTGAGTTTTAGTGAGTTTTGAAGTATCATATTTGTTCCGGTTTGTTGAACAGAAATATGCAAGTAGCCATTGCAATGATCTGAAGTTCTTAGAAATAACAGATAACATGAGATATATATTGCATGACTTGGTTTTACTTGTTACTGTGGCTGCTGAAAGGATGGAAGAATTTGGTGATTGCTAGTTATAAACGCATTAAGAAAATACCCATCTTTTTGTTCCTTTTATGTATATGATATTAGGAATTTAAATTCAGGTCTGATCTGGAATGTGTTCTGGTTGCAATGTTTGACAACATCTTCAATGTGCACAACTCCGAACGTGGATCAAGTGCACATGACGACACTGTGAATATATTTCTTAATGCTGCAAAGTTCGCTAAGCATGACGAAAGACATGCCGAAGAAAGTTTGTCTTTTGAAGATTTCAGAACTTGGTGTACTCTTCTCCCATCTGTCAGGAAGTTCCTTGGAAGCTTATTGATACCGCCTAATCAAGGTGTTCTGCTCAAATTCTTTCATTTGTATCCTCTAGCTTACCATTTGTTTTAATTGTTGGTTTTGCATTCTAAAGTGGTTTCCCAAATAGTTTGGGAGAATCTGAAGTTTGTTTTGCCCTTCCATAATTTTTGAAATTACCTTTCCTTGTAGGAAGACCAGGTTCTCAGGTTCCTCGATTATTGCATTTGGAAAACATCGATCCTAATATGATTCTATTAAAGAAGATGTATGCTTGGCATATAGGAGGAATCCTTCCGCAGCATGATCTGGAGGAATGGAAACTTTTATACCATAGTTCTGTAAATGGTCTGAGCTTTAGCACATTTTTGGGCAACGTATCGTGAGTATCTTTCTTATACTCTTAATACTTTTATTTCTTTTTTGAATCACTTAATCAAATTATATTCTTATGTCTGTTGAGTTGAATATGTCCTTGCAGTGTTGTGATTTTATCACTGTTCTGAGAGTGAAGATAGGCATTAGAGTTGTAGGTATACATTTTTTTTGGGTTACATTGGGGGAAAAGAAACCCCGCATTGGCATGAACATGGATGGGTGCCAAGCAGTAGGGAAGGGGGAGGGCCACAACCACTGTGGTAGCATTGGCAGTTGTAGGTATACTTTTAGAGTTTAAGGGGGAGAGGTAATTGGTGCCTTCTTGGATAGTACATGAACAAAAGTCCTAAATAATATAACCTTTTCTGGTTTAGAATGTGTAGAATGTGAATTGGAAGGGACTCTAAAGCCTGTGTTCACTTCTCAAATCATGTATGAGGACCATGACAATGCTCTGTTAAATGCTTATACTTGGCCTTTTTCCCATATTAAGATAGAGTGCTAAAAGCTTTTCCTATTTTAATTTCAGTCTTGTGGGTTGCTGCAACTAATTTGGGCTGGAATGAGTAATTGTTCAATGAACTGCAGAAAGGATAAGGGGCCGACTGTACTCATTATCAAGGACAAAGAAGGTTATGTATATGGAGGTTATGCTTCGCAGCCATGGGAGAGGCATGGTGATTTCTATGGAGATTTGAAGTCATTTCTTTTCCAATTGTATCCCACGGCATCTATATTCAGGCCTACTGGAGCAAACACTAATCTACAGTGGGTGAGTTGCTACTTGATCTTATAAGTTATATTGCTCTGAAATAGAGAAAACACCATATCTTTCTCTTCATTATGTTTATCCATTTGGATGAGGAATGCCTTTGGTTTCTTAGTTGCCTCTAAGTTTAATAGTCATGAACTGAACTGCATCACATTGTAACGGAAGTTCGGCTTTGTAAATCAGTTAGTTTCTATGAACCATGAATTGCTTTTTTATTTTATAAAGAACTTGTTATTTTGCGTACTGGCAGTGTGCTGTGAATTTCAGTTCAGCAAGCATCCCAAATGGTATCGGTTTTGGAGGAAAAGTGAATCACTTTGGCCTTTTCCTTTCGGCCACCTTAGATCAGGGGCACACTTTCTCCTGTACCACATTTGGTTCCCCTTGCCTCTCCAAGACCAACCGAATATACCCAGAAGTGATAGAATGCTGGGGAGTGGTTACTAAAGTAGCAGACGAAGAAAAACATGACGGCGGAAAAGGTACTGTATTGGAGAGATTTAAGGAGGACCGTCATATGCTCAACATGGTTGGTCTCGCAAATGCAAGTGAGTAACTTGCTGTAGTTTCCCGGAATTACATGCTTGCTGCAGTTTGCACCTCTGAAACTATTTCTTCTAGTTTAAAGAGGCATCATGTTTCTGGTGTGGTTTATGCTGCCGCCAATTTCTGGACAGCATTCTCACTCTGTACTCTGTATTTACCTTTTATTTTCTATTTTTGGATCCGAACACTGTATATTTAAGTTCATCGTGTAATATTGGCGGCTCTTTTGTTATCTGCTTTACAAAGCATGGTTTTTCCTTCTACTACTTTTATAATCATAAGATGTAGCTGGTGTGAGTTAACACTGTGTGCCCAATTAGGTTACAGATATGCATGCCATGCCTCTGAAAATTTTGTGGACAGATAATTTTACTAATGGAAGCGCCACAATTTCTGATGCTCGTGTAGCCTGCCTAGCTTATAAGTAAAAAGAATTTTGGTGGTTCGCAATTTCTTGTTGCTTTTTGAGCATCAAACAAGCTCTATCTTTTAGCACAATCTTTAAATTCCACATACCGCATTGTGAGCGGCATACAAAGCTCCCATAGTGAAAAGCAGAGCCTTTTGCAACGGAGCATTTACGCGGGAACATTACACATTATTCCAAAAGAATTGCTTCACCTCTGCTTTTAGAACATGTGCCAAAACAAACCCAATCCCATCTCTTATGCCAAGTAGGAATGTTGACGCGGAATTCCTGTGTCTAAGTTTTAGCCAATAAAACATCTCTTGACCACATATTGATAAGCGAAGGTAGCCTTGATTACCGTGCGGGGCAAGCTTGTATGCTACAATCATCCCAGATGGAAGTGGCTAACTTGTATGCGAGGTAAACGGGTGCAACAAAATCATAGTCCATTCCGGGACTCTTAACGACATAATGAGGTTTTTCTTTCTTCGGCTGGAGTTTGTAACAAGCCTAACAAATGGTTTATTCACGACGGTATTTGATGTAAATGCACAGCTGCATTGTCTTCACTGCAGTTGGGCATCATCATAGGGGTTCCAAATTCCAAACCCAATACGCATGAAATTAAAATGGACATCACGGAGGCACCGAATTCCGGCATATCAGAAACAAAGCCATAAATAATCACATTCTCCAAAGAATTTGAAACCAAACTCTAATTTAATCACATTCTTAAATTAAACCTACCCATGCCCTAGAAAAAGCAACAGTACCAAAAAGAACATGAACATGAACATTGCACAAGCAAGCAGCTACCAGAAGAAACCCAAAAGATTCATTTGACAAAAAGAAACAAAAATGCATGCTTTCGATTCTAAATCCAAAATTAACAAAATCCCATAATAAAGGATTGAGAATCCACATTAGAGATCCATGGTAAACTTAAAAACGCATAGCAACAGAAAATTAGCAAAAGTTTCCTTCCTACTCTCCCAAAAACCCAAATTTACTCATTATAATCCCTTCTTCAGTACCTCCTGGGCCCGCCGCGCCCGAACCCGAGCTGCTGGGGCTGAAGAGAAGCCGGGTCGACCCGCTTGAGGCCGGGCATATCGCCCATGCCAAGAGCAGAGAGCATGTCGATCGTCTCCTTGTCGACCTCGATTTCGTCAGTCTTGATGGCGGACTTCTCGGGGACGTAGTCCATGCGGCGCTCGCGCTCCTCCTCCTGGAGCTTCAAGGAGATGCCGCGAACCGGGCCCTTCTGGATCCGCTTCATCAAATGGGTCGAGAACCCGGCAATCTTGTTGCGGAGCCTCTTGGAGGGGATGATGGCCACCTCCTCCAGGATCTTCTTGTTGGTGTGGAAGTCCAGGGTCATGCGCGAATAGTATCGCTCAATCACTTGGCGCGAGGATTTCTTCACGGTCTTTGTACGGACGCGGCCCATGGTGCTGGTTTTTCTCTCTGTGAATGTGTGTGTTTTGTGTGTGGAGGTTTTGGGAGGAGAGAGACGCCCGGTGAGGAGTGAGAGAAGACAAAATGAGGGGGGAAGGTGGACGCTAGGGTTTTGGGGTATTTATCTGGGAAATCCCTAAAATGGTCTTCGCTGCTGGACGTTTCGGCCCAGTTGTAAAATATTTGGGCCTAGAGTTTGGCCCATATATATTTTTTTAAATTGGCCGAGTGTGTACTTTCGAAGCTTGGAGAAACTAAATTTGTCAATAAATCTGTGCCGTGTGCTGCTGATGGACCCTAGCTAGCCCGTTGAAAAAGAGCTTTGATTTGCCAACCATTAGTTTCATGTTCGAAACTCCAACCCTTTCTAAGACTGTGTTTTGTAGGAGAGGAGCGCTCTCTTTTTGAACCCGTGGATGGATTCCCCCTCTTAATTAATGGAAAATGCTTGAGCATCTCATTTCAAGCGAGAATAATATATTTTTCTTTTTTCATTTTTACTCATCACGTGACATAATGAAATCATGCATGCCCACAATCCCAGAAAGAAGCGCAATAATGATGCAACACCCATCCTTACTCCATGGCTTTACATTTTTTCTCTTTAATTTTGATTTATTTACATTTTTTTCATAATGTTTCTGAAAGCAACCTAGTTTTGCTTATTGTTTTATTTGTCCACATGGTGTAATATAGTGTTCATATGCATGCCACATACATAGACAAAAATGCTTGACCTAAATTCTTGCCGATGAGGATTAAATTTTCAAAATGTTAGGTTTGATATCATAACATCTTAAACATTAGGTACTAATTAAAGTGCAATTTCACTCAAAATCACAAGAGTCCAAAGTGCAATTGACTGATCATTACAACTAATTAGGGCATGTGCCATTAGAAGAGCAAGGGCAAAAGGGATCCAACATTAGCAAGACTATAGTGCAGCAAAGCAAAATGCATGTGGTGCTTACAAAACTTGGTTTGAGGACATCAAATTTCTCAAAACCATACTAAAAGATTGATTAGTGGTGCTATAACCTCCATCCACAAGAAGGTTCAGTCCATTTACAAACTTGGACTCCTCACTTGCCAAGTACACCGCAGCCTCCGCCACATCCTCTGCCCTAGGCACCGCCCCTTTCAACACCGCCGCAGCACAAATCAGCTCCTCCACCGCATCTCTCTCCATCCCCATAACATTTGTTAGCAATGGAGTTGCCATGGCACATGGAGAAATGCAGTTGACTCTGATCCCATGCTGCCCCAGCTCCACACACAAGCTCTTCATAAGTCCCACCACCGCGTGCTTCGACATGGTGTAAGCGTGTGGAGACTCACCGCAGCTCGCGGAAACCACGCTTGAAGTGAACAGAATGACACCTTTCTTGGCAGGGATCATAGCCCTAGCAGCATGCTTGGCGCCCAAGAAAGCTCCGTACACATTCACGTCAAACACTTGTTTGAAGTTTTCGGCACCAGCGCTTAAAATTGTTGGCTCCAAGTTGCCAGGTATGCCGGCATTGTTGTACATGATGTCAAGCTTGCCATACTTGGACAGAGCCAAATCCACTACATTTTTCACATCAGATTCAACCGTGACATCGCAACGGATGTAGCAAACGGATTCTTCATCGGGGTCGAGTTCTTTGCAGAGGGACAGAGAAAGTTCGTCTTGGACATCGGCTATGATGACTTTGGCACCATGCTGGACAAACAGTCTTACAGTGCTCTCTCCAATGCCGCTAGCGCCTCCAGTGATTATTGCCACTTTGCCTTCCAACCTGCAAAATTGATGTTCAAACATTTAGAAGATGATGAAGAAAAAGGTTAGAAATTTAGACACCAAATGAAGAGGGGTTAAAACTAAGCATACCTTTTGGGACTCGGAGCTAAAGAGGAAGAACTGCTCATCTTTAACATCACTAATTGATGCAAATGCATAGAGGCCCTTGATTTCATATATATACATACATATATCTTTATATATATAGCATGAAAAAGTATTGGATAGAGTGAGAGTTGCTTGTTAAGTCACCGACAAGATTACGCAGCCCGATTTGAAGGCATGTGACAGATCGCAGTTTTGAAGCTGTAAGTTTGGTTTCAAAGTGTTGTTTATTAGGTTGCATTCTTTTCATGGGTTGTGTACATTTGCTGTAAACAAGAAAAAACTGAGCAACAAATAAAAGCCAACCAGAAACGTCCCAAATTACTTATGTCCCTTCAAATAATTGCAAACAATTTGCCATGTGGTGACAAGAAAAAAGTGAACCTGCTTTGCCATACATGGCAAGAATGACAGGGTATGGAGGATTATAATTTTCTTATCTTGTTGCCTGGACCACAGTTCGTCCCGGATTGAATAAAAATGGAGCTGGAAGAAACAAAGTGAGTGCAACCAAGGAAGATATTAAAAAAAACAATGGCTTTGACTTAATTGTCGACAACCTTTTGAAATGAAATGTATTTTAATTTCTTTTCTGCAGTTTAATTAAATGTGTTCAGCAAGGTCAGGAAGATATATCTAACATTTATATGCTCTCAAGAAGCTCTGCTGGAGAATCAAAAGTGCCTTTTTACTAAAATATGTTCTGAGGCTGTCTGTTTGTGGATCGAATATTTTTAGTGCATGCAACAAATTAAACAAGTGGGCTGAGCAAGAAAACTCAGACTTGATTCCTCCTGTATGAGGAACAGCCATCCTGAAGGGTTAAGTTAGTCTTATTTGGTGTAATGTGAATGCTAAATTGAGCTTAGCATCGATACCGATGAAAATTATAATAATTTTTGTAAAATCTTTTCGTTACAGAAGGCGTGGCGCAATCTCTCTCTGGACACTCTTGATCCATTGAAGAAGAACGAATGAGTGTGGAATTGAATTTTTTCTTGCTAGATGGCCGAAAACTTGGTCCATTATTAGGATGAACTTGTGACAAATTAAAGTTGAACTCAAGCTCAAACATGTAAAAAAGTCTGCAGCAGCCAAGCAGATCAAGGCTATGGTGGGTATTGAAACATGTTGAAGGAAGGATTAACTATACTGAAAGCCCCATCTATTAAAAGATTATGCCCGCTTATGTACCTAGCTTCATCACTTGCCAAATAAAGAGCTGCATTTGCCACATCTACTGCCTTAAGTGTCACACCCTTCAAGTTAGCCAATGCGCTCATCGTATTCTCCATCTCCTCATCCTCAAGCCCAACAAAATTCCTAGCCAAAGGCGTCACGAGCGCATAGGGCGACAAGCAGTTCACTCTGATCCCGAACTGGCCTAGCTCAACAGCTGCATTTTTAGTCAGGCCATTCACGGCATGCTTTGAGCAACAATAGGCATGTGAGGCTGCACCACCAACATATGAACTTATGCTAGCAGTTGAAATAATGCTGCCTGCTCGTGCTGGGATCATGACCTGCGCAGCATGCTTTATCCCGAGGAAAACTCCGGTGACGTTGACGCTTAGTACGCGCTCGAAATCGGCCTTTTCATTGTCGATTATGCGTGCCTTGTTGTCATCAACTATGCCTGCATTGTTGAACATGATGTCTAGCTTCCCATATGTAGCAACAGCTTTGTGTACTGCATTTTTTATTTGGGCTTCGTCTGTCACATCACAGTGGACGAATGTGCAGTCTGTTGGCCCTATGGATTCCCGGACTGAATGGCCCAGATCATCTTGGACATCCGCAATGACGATTTTGGCCCCATGCTGGGCAAAGATTTTCGCTGTACATTCTCCAATGCCACTTGCTCCTCCAGTTATCAGAGCCACCTTTCCCTCCAGCCTACATTCAGTTGCAAAAAAGAACAAACACTTTTTAAAAAGTGATTTCTTTATGGGAAAAATACTTCATAATCCAATTATTTTTCTTTCCCGCTGATTTTAGAGGTACCACATTTTTAGATCATATTAGTGAACCACATTATATACCAAATCGGATTCATTTGCAATAATTATTATAATCAATTAGTAATTTACACGTCAACTATCATATAATTAATTTCAACTTCACTAATGTGATATGAAATTGGTTGTTTCTTTACCATTATTGTTTCCTTTGACCAATTTAAATATATAAGCTCATATATACATTGTTGGTCCAATCTAACATAATCTTGATCTATGTGTGTCATTCTTGCATAGGGGCCATGTTAATCTTCTATGAGATGACGGATTTTGGTGTCTCTCAGATTGTGACTTTTGGAGGATTGCTTTGGTGCTGAGGTGTTTTTGGTTATTGGGGAGCTTCTCTTCTTGGCGGATGATCAGTTGGTTTCTATGTGTAGTAGTGTTGTCCCGTGTGGTGGGTGTGTATTCACTCTTTTGTGGCCTTGATGGTGCGGTCTTCGTCTTCTTGGTGGTGACGATGGCTTTATGTTGTATCTGTTTTGATTTTGTGACGGGGAAGATTGTTTTACTATGTACCAGTACAATGTGCTGGTTTTAGTCTAATCTTCTTTGTTCTTGTGTTCTTGTGTTCTTGTAAGAGCTATTTGTTTCCTTCCCTTTTTGGGGATTTTAATGAACTCGGATTGATTATGAACAAAAAAAAATCTTCTCTGTATCGTTCCAATTTTATCATACGTTTCTGAAGGAATCTCTAACAAAATTAATCATGTTAATGTTATTCATGCCTTATGAGAAGCCTAAGGCACTGACCTATGGCTCCCCAAGCAAAATAGAGCCTAATACTGGCCTATAGAGTCTAAACATCAAATCTATAGACTGGACAAATGAAAGAATAATCACCCATGAAACTCTTATTAATGGTGAAGCCAATTTGGTTGTGGATAAATTTGCAAAATACACAAACTATCACATATGCAACATATGATATGTTTACCAAAAAAAAAGATACACAAATATAAGCACGAACAAATAACTATAAAACTGGATTAATTAAGCATGTTCTGCTAACCTTCTTGTGACTGCAGAGAGTACTGAGGAGAATACCATAGCTGTGATGTGAGAGAGAGAGAGAGCAACGAAGAG